GAACAATACATGTATTCTTGTTTTTTTTCAGTTTGTGGGTCCCCAGAATCTGGGAAAGTGTTTTCCAGGTCTTTTTTATATCTGCTGGAGTAGTACAGTTGTTAGGCTTTCTTTATTAATTTGGTGAGAACTGTTGAATATTGTTTAAGAATATCTTTGTGTATTAAGCCCTGTCTATATTGCTTTTCATATTGGTGTTTCTTATCAATGGATTTCAGAATGCTGCTGGTTAGCCATGGGCAACCATGCCGTTTATTCGTGATCTGTTTAGTTTTTATAGGACAATGTTTGTTGTATAGTCTAAGTATTTTGTTAAGAAAAATATCTGTCCAATCGTCAATACCATTGGCATTGGAGAATTCTGTAGGCCATTGAGAGTAAGCCGTCCATAATGGTGGTGAAGCAGCAGGTGACGCGGCTGTGTTTTCTGTAGCCCTATATAACTCCAACAACATTGGAGGAGTTGGTAGAATCACTGAATCACTGAAGAAGGTACCCTCTACCACCATCACAACTACTACCACCCTCTACCACCATCACTACCACCTTCTACCACTATCACAACCACTACCACCATCACTACCACCCTCTACCACCTTCTACCACTATCACAACTACTACCACCTTCTATCACCATCACTACCACCGTCTACCACTATCACAACCACTACCACCGTCACTACCACCCTCTACCACTATCACAACTGCTACCACCCTCTACCACCATCACTACCACCCTCTACTACCATCACTATCAGCCTCTACCACTATCACAACTGCTAGCACCCTCTCCCACCATCACTACCACCCTCTACCACTATCACAACTGCTAGCAGTGGACCCTCGAGGGTCCACTGTATATACATACTCTAGAATGAATAAAATGTCAAAATGTATGAGAGGAGTAAATGGTGTAAGTGTTAGTGTTGGGTTTAAGGGCCGCCACTGAGAGAAGCAGTGGTTGAGGAGGAGGTTTTTGTCACCAACACTATCACACTTAAACAATGTATGTAATTTATAAATAAGAAATATTTACATTTTAATTTATAAATAAGAAATATTTACATTTTAATTTATAAATAAGAAATATTTACATTTTAATTTATAAGTAAGTTTATTCAGGTATACACACAGTTACATAGATTATCATACATAGCAGCATATGTGTAAAGTACCTAGGAAAACACAAAAAAGTCAGGGTGACTTACGTATTTCCACTGGTGTCCTTTTATATTTGCACTTAATATATTTACTTTTATGCTTACACTTTTACATTTACACTTACATTGGAGGAGATGTTAGTTTAACCCTTTGACTGTTTCAGGCCCCTTTCTGAAACTGTCATTCTATGTCGCTCAATTTTTGAAAAAAAAAAAAAATGATTTTTTCTTATGAAATGATAAGAATCTTTTCCCGATGGTAATGACACCAAAAGTTCGAAATTTGGTCGAAAACTCATGGAATTATGCTCCCGCGAAGTTAGCGGTCTCGGCGACATATGCGTATCGGCGATTTCGCCGACTTTGAGCCCTATTTTCAGCCAATTCCATTGTTCCAGTTGACCAAACTCATAGCTATTTCTTTAGAACTCCACTTTATCTATCAGCTGAGTACAAGAAACTTCCCATTTACTAATTTGATACCCAATATGGTGGTCAGAATTTGCAATTGGCCAATTTCACGCAACTAAAAAGATGCCAATTTCAAAATAGGGTCCAGAATAAACAAGGTAGACATTCGTGGCACTAAAATAACATATGCTCTGTTCATTAGTCACATCTCTAGGCCCCTCTTATATTATTATTGCTTTCTATTTTGATTTTTTATTCATACAAAAAAATACAAAATTTACTGTTATGCAGACTACTACATTATTGTAAAAATGGTATAAATAATATCAGTGCACTAGTGAAAGAATATTAGACTCCCCAGTTGATGTGTATTGGACGTGTGGTGTGATTTATTTACTCCTGAACATTGGTAAAAATCGAACATTTCCGCTACTTTGAGCTCAGTTTCAAGGTCGTTTTCATCGTCAAAGTAATGCAAATCATCTCTATTTTTGTAATATGTTTTCCATTTTATCACCTAAGACCATGAAAACGCAAATACAACGATAAATACTATACAAAAATACACCTCAAAGTCGGCGTTTTATTCCAAAAAAACGATCAGTTTTTTTTCTCATTACGCAATGTGTGCTGCAGGATTTTTTTTATGTGGTGCACACTGACCACACAGACCCATTCTCTCACATGTGGGTCTACCAGCTTTCTCCCGCTTGATTTGAAGCCGCTAGAATTATTGAGTATATATACGTCAGAAACATTGGCTCGTAAGATGTATTTATACGTCGAAAACAGTCAAAGGGTTAATTAGTTAGTTTGATGGAGGAGATGCTGGCAGAGGTTTAGGGTAGTGGAAAATAGCAGGCCGGCGTATGTTCAGTGGATATACGCACATCCAACAACAGTGGAGTTACTTTCGTGTCTTTTTCTATCGCTTACTCAACTTACTTGCTACACTGTTAATTCTACGCTTTATCACTGGCTGACTATAGCTTTTATCGATACCTGCTGCTTTAGTATCGTACATATCGTAGAATCACTGAATCATTGCAGAAGGCACATTGTCCCCTCTTCCTCCTCCACTTTGGTACTTTGCTATGAGTTTTTTCTTGAATTTTATTGTTTCTTTCCTTCTTTATCACAGGGCTGGCACTAGAAATTTTCTTTGGGCCCATGGTGACTTATTTAGCAGTTACAAGCACTAAAAACAATGGAATAATTCAAAATATATCACAAGTACCCATGGAATCGAACACAACGGCTTGTAAACAATGGGACACTGGCTATACACAGAGTCTTGGAGTGGCTGGGCCCGCTCAGGATGAAAGCCTTCAGACGAGTTTTTCGGTGTTGGTAGAGTCAATATTTTGATGCCAAAGAGAGCTGTTAGTCGATTTTGGCGTTAGACAATGCCGCCGTTAGTCGAGGGTCCACTGGACATAGATGTAAAATGTTCTTGTCCTTTTAGTCTAAAGTTAGGTTTAAGCTTGGCCAATATGCTATGCATAACCAGGGACTTTCCATGTGCAATATTACTTAAATGTCATCCATTTTTGTACAAACAATGTATTATGTGAAAATAATGAACCCGAGTTTGAATTAACTTCTGTTAGGATATTTAGTTAGTTAATACTCCTGTAACACACAATTCAAATTCAAACTGTAAGAGAGAAAAAGGTGTGGATTTTAACCCTTTGACTGTTTCGGTCATATGTATATGTCTTACGAGCCACCGTTTTTGAAGTATATATACTCATATCAAATCAAGCAGAAGAAGGCTGGTAGGCCCATATGTGAGAGAATGGGTCTGTGTGGTCAGTGTGCACCATATAAAAAAATCCTGCAGCACGCAGTGCATAATGAGAAAAAAAAATCCGACCTTTTTTTTTTAATTAAAATGCTGAATTTGTGCTCTATTTTCGTATAGTATTTATGGTTGTATTCTCATTTTCTTGGTCTCATTTGATAGAATGGAAAACATATTATAGAAATATAGGTGAATTTGATTGGTTTTACAATGAAAAGAACCTTGAAATTGAGCTCAAAGTAGGGGAAATGTTTGATTTTTGCCGATGTTCAAAAGTAAACAAATGATGTCATTGTCCAATAAATGTCCAAGTAGCCATTCTAATATGCAGTCATGAATGGGTTGACATTATCTATGCAATTATTACAATATTGCAGTAGTCTGCATAACAGTAAATCTTCTATTTTTTGTTTGAATAAAAATTCAAAATAGAAAGCAAGAGTAATATCAGAGGGGCCTGGACATGACTGATGAACACAGAAAATGTTATTTTAGAGCCAGGAATGTCTGCATTGTTCATTCTGGTCCCTATTTTGAAATTGTCATAATTTTTAATTTTCGTGAAACTGGCCAAACTGCAAATTTCTGACCATGTTATTGGGCAGTTGAAATCAGTAAATGGGCAGTTTCAAGTAATCAAGTGACAGAAAAAATGGAGTTCTAAAGAAATAGCTACGAGTTTGGTCGACTGGAACAATGGAATTAGCAGAAAATAGGGCCCAAAGTGGGCGAAATCGCCAATTCGTAAATATCGCCGAGGTCGCTAACTTTGTGAGAGCGTAATTCCATTAGTTTTCCATCAAATTTCATTCTTTTGGTGTCATTACAATCGGGAAAAGATTCTCTATCATTTCATAAGAAAAGAAAAATTTTTTTTTTTTGGAAATTTTGTGACACCAGGAGACGCCTCAGGATTTGGGGTTGCGACAGTCAAGGGGTTAAGCTGACACTTCTCATATTAAATATTCACAGATAAGTGATACGAATAGCTGATTTCCAGCAATTTAATGGATATGAAATTTCAGTAGTAATCTTTCTTTCTTCTCTCAACACACCGGCTGTATCCCACCAAGGCAGGGTGGCCCAAAAAGAAAAACGAAAGTTTCTCTTTTAAATTTAGTAATTTATACGGGAGAAGGGGTTACTAGCCCCTTGCTCCCGGCATTTTAGTCGCCTCTTACAACACGCATGGCTTACGGAGGAAGAATTCTGTTCCACTTCCCCATGGAGATAAGAGGAAATAAACAAGAACAAGAACTAAAAAGAAAATAGAAGAATACCCAGAGGGGTGTGTAAATATATGCTTGTACATGTATGTGTAGTGTGACCTAAGTGCAAGTAGAAGTAGCAAGACATACCTGAAATCTTGCATGTTCATGAGACAGACAAAAGACACCAGCAATCCTACCATCATGTAAAACAATTACAGGTTTTCGTTGTACACTCACTTGGCAGGACGGTAGTACCTCCCTGGGCGGTTGCTGTTTACCAGCCTACTACCTAGGTTCAGTAGTAATAAAGACGTTAATTAGTTAATAAATCTTTTCTATGTCCTCCACAAAAGTTAAAGCTAAAATGTTGATTCTACGATATCTACCAGGAGCAGTACAGCTCAACTACCTTACCGTTGAGAAGACCATGGTGAAAGCATAGACAATGGCCTCAGAAAAATATCGCCGCTTAACAGCAAGGATTATGGCTGGCAGGAAGAAGAGGTTTGAGAGTGTGAGTAGCAGGGTTGCAAGAAGAAGCTTCCAATTCGGTGTGGCCTGAGAGCTATCCGTACATCCCCATCCACGGTAACCTGCCACAAAAAGCTTGCAATATTAACATAGTCATACTATTATATTTAAGATTTAATAATGTTTTTATAAATGGACACCAATTATCCATAAAGCAATGTATTAATTATTAAAAATTAAACACCCAGTTTTTTTATGGGTGAGGAATTACATGAAAGAAGAACACCAGAATATAGCTATAGATAGAGATGTTAACAGCACTTGGTGCTCTTCTTTTGAGTAGCTGACTTTGCATCTTTTTAAGTTAGTTGGGTGTGGGTGAGTAGCAATGCTAAAGCTATATTTTTCTTACACAGATATTTGGCTTAAGGTTAGGAGGGGAGTGACAAATTAGCTAGATGCTTTGATAAGTACCCTGGCAGCTTGCAGGGTGTATATTTGTTTGGCAACAAACAACTCTGTTGTTTGTTGCCATGTTTTTCAGACAGGTGAACTCTTGTTATTTATAAGCACTCTGGTGGGTTCATGCATTGTAAAGTGACTAGAGAAGATGGCTGCTAATATGGCATTTACTTTAACTGTTCACTCCTCAAACTGCTTGTCAGTATTTTTATGATCTTGTGAGGTTTCTTTCTTTACACAGTCACATGGTTCAGCATACTACTGCTATTTGCATTCAACGTGTGTGTAAGATTGATGCCAGGCTTTCCCATACCTATAAATAATTCTTGTGTAGTTTTTAACACCCTGGCCTTCTTCCACCAAGACAGGATAATCCCCTCCCCCCAAAAAAAAAAGCAAAAACATATTCACCATCAGTTATTCAATACCTGTCTTGCCAGAAATATGTAGACATCACGCTTAAAATGCCCCTCCAAACAGCAACATCTCCATCCCTCCCACAGTGTGGTCACTGTACTTCCAACCTCCAGGACTTGAGTAGTTCAGCTAACCAGTTTTCCAGAATCTCTTCATAATATTACCTTGCTCATACTCGCTTAGCATTTCACTCCATAAAAAATTTTTATATTCCCCACTCATGGTCAAGCAACAATCATCTTGAAAAATATTAGACTGGTCAAGACTTCTTGACCAATGATTCCCAACCAGTGGATTGCAGACAGCTGGGAGAATACTGAACTATTTTAAGGGGTCCACAAAACTTCTCAGGGATAATACAGCATCTGGGGAATGGTAATCAAAGAAGGGGCAAATAGCTCCAATTTCTTGAATTAAGAGCTACTCACCAACATAAAAACACCACTCCCTTGAAGGGTTAAAATATACCCTGTACAAAGAGTTGGTATGTCTATAGAGCAAACCTCTCATCAGTATTAGTTACATGTCTTCAATGAATCATACATACATGCATGAGACAACGGACTTGGAAAATCCACCATCACAACTCAGACCAGGATAATTCCTTGTTCTTGTACAAATTAGTGCTCATCATAAACATGACAAAATTAATTTGAGAATACACCTACCATCCGACTTACGACCGAGTTCGATTCCGGGAAACCGGTCGTAAGTCGAAATGGACGTAAGTCGAACTTTACTACTGAATATCAACATCACATTTTTGTAATGACTATTTTATTGTTTTATTTAGGTATTTCATGTTTTACTTTATTTTTTATGCTGTTAGTACTGTATTTTATACTGTAAGGTTTAGGATAAACACTGTGTACAACACAAATAGTTGTTTATTTCCCAGAAATTTGGCAAAAAAAAAAACACGGTCGTAAGTCGAGTGGTCGTAAGTCGAGCAGGTCGTAAGTCGGATGGTAGGTGTAAATGATTTTGAAGAATGGAAATTAAATTTTTATATGGAGTTCTGATGACCTACTAGAAACACAACCCGCATACTTACATATCTATCTATCTAATAATCTCTCTCTCTCTCTCTCTCTCTTTCTATCTCTCTCTCTCTCTCTCTCTCTCTCTCTCTCTCTATCTATCTATATCTATCAATATATCTATATCTATCAATATATCTATATCTATCTACAGTAGACCATTATTTAGCACGAGTTTATCTGGCACGATTTGAGTATAGCACGACTGAAGAATTGCGGCACAATTTTATGTAACACGTCGTATGATGAATTTAACACGGTTCAGTTTGCAGGAAGGTAAAAAAACTTCCCTTTTCCTCAACCGGCCGCCTTGTTGTGGTTCAGCTGGGGAGACCTCCCGCCGTCCCCAGCCACCCCCCCGACACCACCCCACCATCAAAGCATTCGTACTTCATACGTGTCCAGTCCAACTTCTCTGCTACAAGCTTGTGATTGTGAATTGTGTTTTGATCTTTTAATTGCTATATCTTGTATCTATACCAAGCAATCATGACACCTAGTAAGCATACCAGTGTTGCTCAAAGTGGCAAGAAAAAGTATAAACATTTAAGTCTTAGAATTAACGAAGGAAACAAAGATATTAGATGAGACATTCTGTGGCCATAATGAAGTGTTGCTTTGTACACATAAAAAAAGGTAAACATAAGTTTGTGTGACTGACTGACATAGTAACTGACTGACTGACTGACTTACTTACTGAATGACTTACTGAACAACTTGACTGATTTACTGAATGACTTGACTGACTTACTGAATGACTTGACTGACTTACTTAACAACTTGACTGACTTACTAAATGACTTGAATGACTTACTGAATGACTTGACTGACTTACTGAATGACTTGATTGACTGAATGACAAAGTTAGACACTCCAGTACAACCATCAACTTCAGTACCAGAACCTCTACCATCCACCTCAGCCCAGTAGGGCCACAACATAACTCTCAACTCTCTTCACAATTCAAATCAATTCAGTTCAATTCAAATTCAATTCAAAGTTTATTCTCTATAAGGATTACAATGCTGAGTTTACAGAATTTGGTTATTGTGTGGTTTACATGTAGTAAAATAATAATTACAGAGTGTACCACTAGAACACCTAGCATGGCTAGGCATTTCGGGCAGACTTAAATTAAATCTTAAGTTTAAAATATTACAAAATCGTGAGGTAAGTTGGTATTATGGCTAAGTGACTAAATACTAGTTTGTGAGTTTAGCAATGTGAATGCTTTTGTTTTGGCACTATACATAGTTTCAGTATTGGAGTATCACAGGCCAACTTATGACTAGTTAAGATTCATTATTTTGAGACTGAGATTGATATTTCTGTTTATGGTCAAATGGGTGAGTGAGTGTAAGTGTTAACCACCAGGTGGTATTCGTGTAATTAGTTGACAGGGTGTATCAGGGAGGTAAGATGTTTTCTGATGGTAGTTTTGAAGGTGATGAATGTGTCTGCAGTTTTAGAATTTTCAGGTAGGGTGTTCCAGATTTTAGGGCCTTTGACATACATTGAATTTTTGTAAAGGTTTAGTCGGACACGGGGAATGTCATAGAGATGTTTGTGTCTGGTGTTGTGCCTGTGGGTTCTGTCACAACTATCAAGAAAGCGTTTTAGGTCAAGGTTAATATTGGAATTTAAGGTCCTGTAGATGTAGACTGCACAGTAGTAAGTGTGGATGTACTGAACAGGAAGTAAGTTTAGATCTATGAAGAGTGGGGGGGTGTGTTGCCAGGGAGGGATTTAGTGATTATTCTTACTGCGGCTTTTTGTAGGGTTATTATTGGCTTTAGGTGTGTTGCTGCAGTTGAACCCCAAGCACAGATAGCATAGGTGAGGTATGGATAAATAAGTGAATGGTATAGTGTGAGAAGGGCAGTTTGTGGCACATAGTATCGTATCTTGGAGAGGATCCCAACCGTTTTGGATACTTTTTTGGTTATGTGTTGGATATGGGTGCTGAAGTTCAGGTTGTTGTCGAGGTATAGGCCTAGGAATTTGCCCTCATTATGCCTGGCAATTAGAGTGTTGTCGATCTTAATGTTAATTTGCGCATCTCCTGCTCTGCTACCAAACATAATGTAGTAGGTTTTGTCAGTGTTAAGCGTAAGTTTATTGGCTGTCATCCAAGTCGATATTTTGATCAGCTCCTCATTAACAATGGTGTTGAGGGGTGGCAAGATTAGGGTGAGAGATGACATAAGTCGTGTCGTCAGCAAAGAGAATGGGGTTCAGGTGTTGAGATACGTTTGGAAGAATCATTGATGTATATGAGGAAGAGCAGGGGACCAAGGACACTTCCCTGCGGAACTCCAGTATCAAGTGGCTGTGTTGTTGATGCTGTGTCTTTAATGGTGACATACTGATACCTATTAGTAAGGTAAGATTTGAAATATGCAAGCGCATGGCCTCTTATACCATAATGGTCAAGTTTGTGGAGTAGGATGCCGTGGTCTACTGTGTCAAAAGCTTTTCTTAGGTCAATAAAAATTCCTAGTGGATATTCCTTATTTTCCAATGCTGTGTAAAGCAGATCTAGCATTTTTATGATTGCATCGTTAGTGCTTTTATTTTTCCTGAATCTAAACTGGCAGGGGTTGAGTATGTTTTGTGCCGTTATAAACGAATATGCAGTGGACCCCCGCGTACCGTTGGCATCACATAACGTTAAATCTGCATACCAATACATTTTATCGCTAAGATTTTGCCTCGCATACCGCTAAAAAACCCGCTCAACACTATTCGTCTGAGACGCGTCTAATGTGCGGCCTGAGCCAGCCTCACAAGTTCCGCCGGTGGCATTGTTTACCAGCCAGCCTCCGCGGTAACATCCAAGCATACAATCGGAACATTTCGTATTATTACAGTGTTTTTGGTGATTTTATCTGTAAAATAAGTGACCATGGGCCCCAAGAAAGCCTCTAGTGCCAACCCTGTGGTAAAAAGGGTGAGAAATATTATCGAAATACTGTGGTACCATGGTCAACTGCTGATGCTGCTGCTGCTGTAGCACTGTCAACTGCTGCTGCTGCTGTAGCACTGTCAGCTGCTGCTGTAGCACTGACAGCTGCTGCTGCTGTAGCACTGTCAGCTGCTGCTGCTGCTGTAGCACCATCAGCTGCTTCTGCTGCTGCTGTACCACCGTCAGCTGCTGCTGCTGCTGTAGTACCATCTGCTGCTGCTGTAGCACTGTCTGCTGC